TATGGTGTGTCCATACTTTCAAGCAATAATCTCAAGGGCATACACTTTTCCAAATGTTTTTGTCTGTAAAACTTCAAGTAGTTGGTTTTTGGCCTAGTTATCTTCAAAATCCAAATCATTATCCATCAAAAAACTTTGTATTTCATCTTTCCTCGAATTTTTATTCGGTACTTTGATGAGGTGTCGCGAATGATAGGAAACGTTGTCAAGAACTATTAGCTTCCATTGTCTCATGATAGTCAATATTGCAGTCCTCAATTTTTTTTCCACATAACTTTTCAAAGAATTGGAACCCATCCTTCACTTCCTCCGCAATGCATAATAATTAGTCGCGATCCGTTGTTTGCCTGCAAACAAAGGATATGTCAGGCGTACACATTCTCGAACCATCAGTCCACCATTTCGTAACTGTGTCGTGAGTGTCATATCAAGTGTCGTCCAAATAGAAAATTTGCCGTTGTTCTTGTCTATATTTAGTTATTTGTTCTAAGTATTTGTTACGCAATTCCACAACTGCTTGACGTTTGTTTATTATTTTAAATCTAAATCCTATAGTTTCTTCATCCAATTCTGAAGAGTTTTGTCACACCAGCTCACGTTATGGCCGAAAGTATTCAATTTCTTCCTTATGATTTTAATTGTAGGAATCTCATTGCTTTTGTAACAGTCGTATATTGTTTTTTTAATGATTTTATTCGATGAACATCTAAAGGTTTTGGTAATCCCGCATCAAATCGCGTCTTGCGTTCATAAGGTTTGTTTTTGACTATTTTAAGTACAGTTGAGAAAGGAATTTTGGTCAAATCTGATGTTGCTGGTAACAGTTTTTTTTCCTCGAAACCAAATTTGATATGTAGATTCTTATATACATTGAAACATACTCTCTGTGTTTCAATATTCAAATGCATCCGAATCTGACTCACTGGTATCTCTTTTTCGCATTGTTCACCATCGCTATTGTAATCACTACATAGGAAAAAGTCTGCGTTGTTATCACACTCGTTAAGTAATTATAACTTCACCAATATCGAATTTCAACACTCAAATCGAGATCAGTTCCTGAATTGAACATTGATAACACGACTCTTCTAAACATCCTCACATTTTATTGGTCACCGTAACATGACTTCAAATTTAATTTCAGCCAATCATAAAACTCGGTTACTAAAAATCATCCAATACAAACCGCCAATTCTTCAGTCCACGTGGACTAATACATAGCGGCATTATTTCTTTGTATTGGTTTTTTTGGTCTTTGACTTCGCCTATAGCTTTAAGAATTACTATATCGGTTACTTCGACTATACCTTTTTTTCCATTGTATCGTCTTCGTATCTGTTAGGGTTTAGAATATAGCATATTACCACATGACAAAAGATACGGCCTGTAGATAAATGAAATACGAAATACCCAAGACCCCTTTTGAAAAAAAAACTTCTTTAATGTCAATGGCAATAATTCATATCATATTATGAAGTGTCAGTAACTGAGATTTTGGATGTTTAAATTTTTTGTATATTTGTACTAAACTTTTCAATTAATAAGTAGTAGTTACTGCATCTGTTGAAATGTCTATTGTAATAACTTTTTCTGTCGCAGTCTTACAAACAATAATCCTCAGAAGTCAAAACGTTTAATAGCTAAGGATTAACGAGATCTTACTTTGTAACGTACGATTCTAGCACGAGACGGACGGTACGTAGTGAAAAATATATGATGGAATTGGCCGATACTTGATGAAAATCCATAACAAACGTATTCAAAGAAAACTGTTTTGTGGGAAGGAGCCTTTGTATGGCGAAACACTTGTTGCATTTTTGTAAAACTCGGTCGGTCGTTAGCCGGGAAGCGATTCGACGTGAGTGCTTTGTTTACTCAATCAATCGGCCGATGTGTGAGTCGATGGTTCGAGCCCCAGGCTGAACGCTCGATTTTCACTTGCTATCGTCCAACCCGTGTTAGGAAACACACGTCAAAAAGTAAGACCTCGTTTGTCCTTAGCTCGCACAAGTTTCGACTTCTGAGGGAGGTCGTTTCGTAGGGGTGCGATAGATGGTTAACGGAAAAAATACGTTACGTATAGCAGGGGAGCCCACGATGCAAAATGGGGATTTACTTGAGCGTCATTGAGACATATTAGGTCGCAAAGAAGAAAAAATGTTTTATAATATATACCTTTTCATCGGTGGGGGAAGCGGCTTTAGATTTTCTAATATGTAAAAAAGTACTGTTGCATGGACATACTCGAGCGCGTCAGATATTGATAGCATCAATGTCCTACATATTTTTAATAATGTTGGTATGTTAATCTGATCGTTTGCATGATGTGGGTGGATGTACGTAAAGGTTGAAAGTGAAAAGAAAAAAAATAATCTAGCGCGTCAGATTTTTTAAGGGGTGTTAGTGCAACAAAAAAAAAGCTCTCATTCAATAATCCGACGATTTCGATCTGACGTTAACTCACGGCCATTATTATAATGTGCAAAAAAAATTTGACATTTTGAAATACTCAAGCGCGTTAGATTAAGATATATATGGTTCATCTTCATGTTTTAGACGTGCTGTTTCATAATCTGACGATTATCTAGAGGGATTCGCTAAATCTGACAAAAACAATATTTTTATATTTTTTTTTCAATTTATTGAACTTAATTAATTGAAAAGCTCAGGAAATAGCATGCAAATAAATAAGTGTATGTTTCTCAAGTAGAATACGTTCATACAGAAAAATAAATTTAAAAAAATGCTCAAAAATATTTAATTTTTTATAACCAATTGATTAATTAATGAATAAAAGAGAAATTAAACTTTCTATGTTTTTCACCACTTATATTTGTAACTAACGTTACTGCAGTTTCGTCCTATAAGGACCTTCCCAAACTTATATATTGTATAAGTTTGAAAATGTCCTTATATATTGTATAAGTTTGGAAATGTCCTCATAGGACGAAACTGCAGTAACGTTAGTTACAACGCACGCACCGGCTTCTTAATAATAAACTGAACTCACCTCATATATTATCGTCAATTAATTTTCACGTCCCAGCCAGGACAAGATCAAATACAATGTTTTATATACAAAATTTATACTTCATACACTTCATACAAACCACTTACAGGTATGTTGTGTCTCGCAATTAAACTGAATGTAATAATTGATATAGATTGGACAGATTCTCTAACAAAATTAAAGGAAAAAAGTCATTATACAGCTAGTGGCAATGTCTTTGTAGGATCATCACACTTATTAATCGACCCCGTCAGTAACTGATTTATAATTTTTACTTCTTTTTAATTTCAGTGTATTATATTGTATCTATTATATTGTATGTAATAAGGTCATCCTTGTAATTAGACCTATGTGGTCTGTTAGTGTGAATAAATAAATAAATAAAAAGAGGTAAAAAACATAGAAAGTTCAGTTTCTCTTTTCTTTATTATGAATTCCTACCACGCAGTAACGGCTACATCCATTAATCAATTGATGAATCAATCATCATCTTCATCACGAAAGATTCTCTGTGCTTAGCCGTGATGGCGGCATTGCAACAAAAATCTGAGTGGGGATGGAGTGAGAGAGTAATAGATAGAGAAAAAGTGAATAGGGAATAGAGGAATAGTAACTCGGAGAGGGAAATATAGGTATCACACAGCTGCACGCATTAAACTTTATCGACGAAATTTGTTATTTCGGCTTGCGGAAATCGTCAGATTATATATTTTTCGTTATCCTTGAATTATTTCCTTCAAAATATAAAAAAATTAGCTACGCCCGAGAATGTCGAAATGACGTTATTTTTTTACAACTTTGCTGCCCTCCCCTTTCTTTACGTCACTCTCAAATTGTCAGATTACTGGAATATACACTTTTCAGCAGGTAATTAACTCACCCTACCTTAATCTGACGCGCTCGAGAATTTCTGATAATCAATTCCTTTTACTAATCTAATCGTTTATCCCTCACAGGCGGCCTTATATATGAGGCTCATATTTGGAGGAGGTACTTAACCGGGTACAAGGTATTCCCCTGTATATTGATCTGCCGCGCTTTTACTCTATTAGTAGTAAAAATCCAAAATTCCACAATTGGACTCGAACTAATGTTCACGAACCACTCCTGCTAATCAACTATAGTCCGTTCATAATTTGTCGATAACACAAAATGAGGGCCCAAGTCATAAAACGGTCGTAAAACTCGTAAAATCATAGGCGGAGGTTCCTGAGGTGTTTATTCATTAAATATAAAGCTTCAGTTTATATTCGAAACTTGCCTTGAAAGGGTGAAGTTGTTACGAACGAAAATAATTTTTGGTTTAGTACATTTTTTAATCGCATTTAATTTACGGCTCGTTGGTGTTTCGGCGTCTACGGCAGTAATTAACGTCTCTAATATTTATTTTGCGAATTTTGTGCAGTGCGTGAGTAACTTTTTTTCATATTCCTACAAACATATACGTACCTTTCGTTCCTNAATATTAATATATTTATTTATTTAAAGTAACTAATGTTTTAATCATATACTCTACGACACTGGTCACTCATTTCCACTCAAAATACCTACATAATCGGATTAAAAGTTTTATAGCTGTATTGTATTTCTTCAGATACAAGGTGGGTTAGTCGACAACATCTTAAACTGCCAGTTTTAGTTTGGTTTTTGTTATTATATCATATTAGCTGTCCTCTCTGTATTTCAGTTCTCTAATGAGGGTCAAACTTGCAGTGAGCTATCAACAAATTATGAACGGACTATAGCTATCATTCGACTATGAAAGTATTGTTTTTTGAAGTACTGAAGAAATACTGTTCTATTTCCGCTAAATGATACCAGATATACAGCAGATAGAATCATAATTGTGTTTTTATCTTTGCTTATGTTACTTGATGAAAATTCACACTTCCACATTTGAAGCTGCTGATGGTTATCTAATGTCGAATATTTTTTCCAGGTGACAGTATGGGGCGATTATGGCAGAATCGAAGGCAAGAAAGTGTTCATGGGTGTGGCTCAGATAATGCTGGATGACTTGAACCTGAGCAACATCGTCATAGGATGGTATAAACTATTCGGGACGACTTCCCTGGTTAGTGGACCCCCTTCTCTTGGTCTGTCTCGTGGCGGATCCTTGGCTAGCCTAGATTCCTTCAAGTTCTAACCTCTCTTCCTGCGCTTTTAATCACGCTAGAGCCTCACCAGAGCCTACTATTCCAATAATGCCACGCAATTCTTTTGTTCACTTGTTTCCTCCACATCTCATATCATATCACGAAAGTAGCTCTGCATAACACATCGAGGGTCTGCGACAGGTCACATGTAGGTATGAATAACGCTTTTTCGAAGAGTTCTACGCTTCATTCAGACTCGCAGTTTACATTATTTCATTTATTTTCTCATTACATTTTTTTTTTCAAAATTATTACACATTACATAATTTTTCAATCAAAATCACATTATGTTATGTAGAGTATAATACTTCGTTTATTAGAGAGCAATATTATTCACTGTGTGAAAGAATTTCAAAATTTCAAATCCTTTCTGCCATGTAGAAACACATTTTTCATGAGTTAATTACAATGAAAACTGCGAAGGGCCATCGCTGAATAGTAAAATATACATTTGTCAAAATAAATTATATCTTAATTTGTCACTTTGGTTGAAATTTTGAAAAATTTGTCGTTTGATACTTCGTACTAGAACCTCTGGCATAAAATGATTGTATTAAAAACACTTTCCCAACACCAGAACAAAAATTACAGTCCCTCGACGCGCGTTTCGCTAACCAAGTTAGCATCTTCAGGAGTCGTAATGATCTTCTGAGGACGCTAACTTGGTTAGCAAAACGCGAGTCGAGAGAACGTAATTTTTGTTCTGGTGGGAAATCGTTTTCAATAAATTTGTCGATGTTGATAGGATAACATGGGAACTATGGAATATACAGGGTGTTTCAAATTCGATCCTCACCATTGGGATTTCGGAAACTATGAGAGATACGAAGATGGTTAAATTGGGGCAACGGTGCGCATTTACCTGACTAACAATATGGCGTTGAGAAAGTTCTGAAATTCAAGAGTATATCCGGAAAAAACAAAAATTTCGAAAAATGGTTTTTATTTTTTCTGGCTTTATTTTTCGAAGGATTCGAAAATAAAGTGCACTTTCACATTTCTACTTTTTTCCTGCTACATGATGGTGTTTTCAGATTTGCTATCCGACGTTTCGTCTTCCGCGTTAGAATATAAGCTTTTTTCAAAAAGTCGGTGTGCTTTTTGTTCGATGAAATCTCTACTTTCTGATGGTGTAAAAAACATACATTACTATAGTAAATGTTCTCAGAAAATGAAAAAAACAGAAAAAACTTTAATTTCAATTTTTTTTCAATCATTATGTACGATTTCATAAAAAAATGTGATTGCTGCAATTTTATGCAGGTAAAAAGTTTATTTATTCAATTTCACTAGTTCGGACTTCCATTGTCTATTATATAAAATGATTTGAAATCCCTGAAACAAGTAAAAAAGAATAATTAAAAAAGAATAGTTGAAAATAACAATTATATTAAGCAACAATAAACCTGAAATGAAATGATAGTACAATAACCTACAAGTAAAAATATAATAATTGAATAAATAAAAAATTAAAGAAATATCCATTAGTTTTTGTCTCTTTCATGGCATTTCTTCATCGTTAGATTCGACAAACCTTTCCAATTCTAGTTGATCTTCGAAATCTTCAAGACCATCACCTTCTTCGTCTCCAATATCATTTCCAGCCTGCATTGGTTCTTCATCCTCAATTGCATCTGAATAATTAACTTCCTCGTAGGTTTTTTCTTCCATATTGGAGCAATTTTCAGAACCATGGCAATTTGAGCATTAATTTGTGCATTTCAAACCATGTTTTCGGCAGCCACATATTGAATATTACTGGAGTTTTTCCCCAACACCAAATCGTTACTTTTAACACCTCGACACGTGTTTCGATCATCAAGTGATCATCTTCAAAGAGGAAGATTAAAACTAAGGACTAGTGCGACCTAATCCTATTTATGCTATAAAGGTAACTCATACAGGTAAACCATCCAGGCATACCAACCTAAATTAATTTTACAATTTTGCCTTACCTATTATTTCACAATATATGTTTATATAAAACAATTTTCAGCTATATAAAAATTAATTTCACAATATTGCCTATCCAAATTTATTCAATGTGTCCTTATGTAGTAATCAGCAAACCCAACAACATTATTTTATTTTATTTCAACAAGCTATATAGTATGCCCTTTGGTATAGGTCCGTCATCGTTATTCATAATATTATTGTGTTTACTTATTTCTACACTCTCATAGGCATCTAGTTGCCTGTTGTTGTTAACTTGTCTAACTAATCTTAATGAACTGAAGTATATGGAATGGTTTTGTTGCAAAATCTGATGGGGCGACTGCTGATTTTTCAGGTCTTCCATATTTTAAGTGTGCTATATGTTCCTTATCTTACTTTAATAGATCTTTTTGTCTATCCATAATATTTTGCATCGCAGTCCTTACATTCAATTTCGTAAATTCCAGACTTTTCCGAATTCTCGACTTTGTCTTTTGGACTTCCCAAAAGGCTCTGTAGTGTACGACTTGTTTTAAAAACCACCTTCATACCTAATTCCTTGAAAATCTTTCGAAAGTTCCTCGTATATTGGTGGTATGGAACTGAGATGTATTTATCTTGGTTTTTGTCCTTTCTGAAAGTCGAGATTTCGTTTATTCTTAACCTAAACTTCTTTTTCTTCATTATGTCATCTACAATACCCCTCGAGAAACCGTTAGTGGCCGCCATTTTCTGTATTGTACGTCTTTCTTTTTTGAACCTATCATGTGTTAGAGGGAAAGTCAAAAGACGATGCACTAAAAAATTTAACCAAGCACGTTTATGCTGTACGTGCTTGTTTCTTTTCTAAATATATCGTATTCTAACCCTCCATATTGGCTCCTCATTACCAAAACGTCAAGAAATGGTAGTTGTTCCTTATTTTCTAACTCATACTTGAATTTTATTGATGGATATCATTATTTAAAATGGAAACAAAGTCGTCAATATTCGATTTTTTGGTATCGAATATCGCGAAAATATCATCCACATACCTTAGCCAAATCCTAGGAAAATACTTCGACTTTTCTTTGGTTTCCATTTCGAATCTGTTCATGAACAGGTTTGCCAGGTAGGGGGCAAGGGGTTTCCCATGGCCATTCCTTCCTGTTGTTCATAAAAGCAACCTTCCACCTGGAACCGATTTTGTTTCATACACAAATTAATAACAGAAACGAATTCATCGATTTCGTTATTATTGAAATTATTTTTCTCTAGTAATTCCCTGAGGTATTCAAGGCCTGTGGAATTGGGACGCTAGGAACGTTAGTTCCTTATTTCCTTGAACTATTACATCCAGTTTCACAGCTGCAGCAAATAGTTTTAGGTGATACTTCTGGAATTAATTCCTTTTCTATAAATTTGGTCATAAAGCCATGTTGATGTTGCTTCCGGCCCAATCTGTTGCTGTCAATTCGTTACCCAACCAGGTTTGAAGCTGATAATATGCCCTGTAACAATGTTGTTCTGCTGCTTCTTCTGTGGGTGGGAGGTTTGCCAAAATGAAAGTTGATTTAATTTTTGCCTATTGATATTTTTGAAATCCTAATTGATTCAGTGTTATTTTTTCATTTTTACTTTTATAAATAGATTTGATTTACTTTGATCCATTTTTTTATATCTTCTTTACTTGCATCTTTCTTATAAAAAAACATTGGCCGAATTTGACAAATTTCTGGCGTTTAATAATGAATTTACGATACTTTTTTTTCCTTTTACGACAAATCCAGATGTTGTATCGCAACCAAAAAAACAATTCAGAACTGCAACAATATTTTTGAAGGATTCATGTTTGACACTATTAGACGTGTAAAATAGATCCTTTATATTTCCAGAACTGGCTTAAGAAAATGAATGTCATGATAATTTAAATTTAATTGAATTATAAGGACCAAAACATCAATATCTTGACCCACAACATTGACAGTTTTATTAGTATATCAGGCAATTTCTATGGAGGTCCTAATTATATCAGCATCTTCTTTACAGGTAAACCTTCATACAGAAAAACCTTCTTCATTAAAGATTTCATTATTTTGTCGTTGTTTTTCTCGTTAGATAAACATTTTTCTTGCAAGAATGGTATTTTTGTATGGTTTTAATAATCAAACTCTGGAATATTGTAAGACTTGTAGTAAGGCACAGACCCTCCTAGCTCCTTCTCTATGAAATACCTTTCATTGGGCTAAAATATTCCGTAGGTCACTCAGGTATATAAATTATTTTAAAATGGCAATAAATAAGTATCTACAAATATTATTTGAAGAAGATTCTATGACCTTCTCAAAATATTGTAGATGTCTTATTAAATATTACCTTTATTAACTCATTTGTTTATTAATTATAGCAGTATATTTCCATTTGCAATTTTCTTCTTTATAATTGTAACATAGAATCTTATCTTTTTTGAGTGATTAAAGTGTGATTTTTAATAAATAGCTCAAAATTATACGTAATGATTAAAAAATAATTTTGAATTCGCGTTTTTTTCATTTTTTGCATTTTCTGAGAACATTTACTATAGTAATGTATATTTTTTTCACACCATCAGAAAGTAGAAATTTCAATGAACAAAAAGCTTACCGACTTTTTTAAAAAAGCTAATGTTTTGTGGCGAGAATTTTCGATTGAAAATTAGGGTGGTTTTTTGATATTAAGTTGATATTAAATCAAATAAATCACAGTGTATTTGGAACATTATAAGGTAAGTTTTCACCAAATTTCGTGAAAAAAAAATTTTTGAAAAAGAAAAATAAAAAACCAAAAACTTGGTTATTTGAATTTTTCACATAAATTTTGAGGTTATGTGAAAAAATTGTAAATACAAAAGTTGTAGATCTTTTTATTACCTACAACTTTGCCATTCAACTTTTTTCCATAGCACTTGTAGTTTTGCCGGAAATCGAGATAAACCATTTTTTACCCTTGAAAACTCACCCCCTAC